CCCCCCCCCAACACTACACACATTATTTATTCAATATCTCTTTGCTCTTGCTCAATATCACAATGCGTCACGAACATGTCATATATTTACCGACACACCCCTCAATACGACGAACACGGGATGGTGTCGGTTGGTACGTTCGAGTTATATTAATTTTGTAGTGACTCTACACAAATATTAAACCCGTGCCAATTTACGTCACCTCACGATCCTCACAGACGTTCACCTGTCTGTTAAAAAATGGGATGCATATTATTTCTCTTTACATCTAGGATAGTATATGTGTAAGCAGCTGGGATGCATGCTATCCTCCAGTTTGGGTTTAGTTCATGATATCTTCTGAGCAATCTATTTTACAAAACGGCGAATCATGCAGTCATTTTGCGTCCTTTTTGACTGGTTATTGAATAATATTGATGTTTTCGCTCCGCACCATTTCCCGGGAGTTATATTTCATTTCATTTCATTTCTTTGTTTTCAATTTCTAATTGAGTTCATGAGCAAAACACAAAAGGTAGACATAAATGCTTGTAAATATGATTTGTTTAGGAAAAGGTACCACTCATTTAAACTGCAAAATAAAAACGCTACATCATAAATGTGAAACGTGTTTCATTAGACTAGGGTCTTTATTCGTACGGTATGTTATATGTGTATTGCGTTGTTTTCCCTACTTTGTTGGTATGTTAAGTGAAACTCTAATAATCCAGTGTTACAGTTATTTTTAATGTAAACCCGGATATACACATGGATTATGTATATAGTATAGCTTACATGGTGTAATCCGCCCCCTTATCTTCTATCAAACACACACCATATCTCCAGGCTAGAGGATGTAGCTCATCGCGAGACGCCTTAAAACATTTTAACTAATTTGTTAAATCGGATTTCAATGAGCGCTTACTTCCCGTGAACACTTCAGACTGATTAAGCCAATCTCAAATCATGCAACAGATTTACAGACAAAGGTTTTAACGTGGTGCAATGCATACCACCAGACATAAAATATTTCTGGATTATCAGACTCGTACATCCTAGTACTGCGGCTAGAATGCTTCACCGTTAGTTGTTCTATCCACAAAGTGCATCGCTTGAAGTTTAAAGACAAAAGGATTGTATGTTAATGACAGTCTGTATATAAATATAGGGAGGTTGGGAATGTTGATCTCGTTTAATATGAATGGTATTTGGAAACTCAAAGGGAGGAATGCTCTTACATAAGGTTTTAACTACAACACCGTACAGCTAAGCATACCAGTCTGCATTTTTGCTCGTTTAGAATCTGCACTTTCTACGGATATTCTACCAGTGTATGTGCGCAGTTTAGAAACTTCCCCTTTTGTTTTCTTTTACGGATATTGTCCAATCTCCCATTGTTAACATATCGAGGTACAGGTAGCTTGTCAACATGTTATGTTCTTTATCTGTCGTGGCACCTAAACTTTGAAAAAATATATATACATCCGTTGATGAATCTCTGAAGGGCCTGCTCAGGATCTTTCTTTCATTTCTTTTCTTTTTATATATTTACCAGTATACATAAAATTACAATTATGAAAATTTCATTTCATTCGTTACAATACACAAGTAGACATTATAATCCGTGTATACTGTTCTTCTTTGTTTTTAAGATATAAGTGAAAAGGAAACATTGCAACGTGTTATATTGCAAACAGAAACAAGCACTTATGATATTTAATATATTCGATAATATTTTCATATAACGTTTATCTTTACAATTATCTATCAGTAATAAGGTACATGTACATTATGTATTGACAAAAAGAATCGATTTTTGATATATCGTTTTATGCTTCTTGATTGTAGAACTACATAGTCCATTTTATAAGGTACATCTCCATTCAGTAAATATTACTCTAAATTAAATAAACCCATTACAAAAATAACAAAAACAAAAAAAAATCTATAAACCTATTACAATTTATTTTTTATATAAACCTATTACAAAAAAAACCACAATTATATAAACCCATTACATAAACCCATGAAGTTATTTGTAAACGTTATTTTTGAATTAAATGTAATACAACCTGTAAGTATGTATGTGTGACGTTTCGATGACTAGAACAGTACGTACCATGTCTCTTTCATTAGACAAATGACCAGTGAAGCGTATGGACACAGTAGTGTCAAATATATACGAGCTGGCAATATACAATCGACGTTGATTCGGATATAAAAGAATGTACACTTAGTTGGTATACATGAACGAAGTGACGTATCAAATCGGCAATTCGATTCGGCTACGATTCGGAAACGTCACACATAAACACTTACTGGTTGTGATACATAACCTTTCTACAACTCAAGGGTTTGTCTTCAATCACGTGTCAGTAAGAATTCCAATATATTTTACGAAGCTGATCGTGATTGTGGTTTGTTAATTTGATACCTAGTATGTGTATGAAGAGCTGTCTGGAAACTTTTCAATTTAGTTCTTCAATAAGATCCAAAATAAGAAAATAGATTTTTTTATTTTATTTTATTTTTTTATTTTTTTGCATCTCGATTTAAAAAGGTACATGTAGCTATCCTATATGACCTTCCATTGTCTGATTTGTTCAGGAAATAATAGTAATTGGCCTTTATACCTAGGACGAATGTTAAAAAGAAAATAGCAAATATCATGATAACTGATAATTATTCCATATTTATGTCTGAAGTTCAGAGGTGGTTAGTGTGCATTTGTAACAATTTCTCTTTCCGTTTTACAGTGGCAGTGGCCTCCCTGGCTGTTTCTCCTGTTTCGACTTGTTGTCCTTGGTTACGTGGTAGGGGCATTTATACCAGTCATCGTACCCAAAGACGCAAACGCCAAGCACAGCCTCCTCGTCTACCTCACTATATGGACCTATAGCATCCTCATTGCACATAATCTCATCGCCACCATCGTCGCATTATTTTATCATTGTATGCAAGAGCGGGATGAAGATGACTTTTCAGTCGGGATTGCATCTCACCGATATCATGTCAGTGGAAATAGAAATTCCACCTACAGTTCGTTTAAAGAAAATACGTTCCGAACTGATGCAGATGCTGCGTCTTATACCATAACCAAGGAATCCAGTGACGCGAACACTAAGTACCAGGCTGCCATAGGCACCGACCAATCCGATGGAGGGTTGTCTCTCAAAGCTCAATCAAATGGACGCATGAACTCGGAGTCGGAGACGCGGTCTGTGACAACGACAACTCCAATTATGTATGACGAAACAGAAGACAACTTGTCTTGCTTGATGAAGTTTTCATGGCTTTTGTCTGCGCTAGCGCAACACTTTTCGATCTTTGTTACTTTATTGTATTTCACGGCCGTGTTCCCTTTCCTAAGGGTACGAGCTGATCTCGTGAATGACATAAACTTGCACGCAGTCAACAGCTTCGTAGTCCTGCTCGACCTCGCGGTGAGCGCGCGGCCTGTGAGATATCTGCACGTGCTGTACCCTGCCATCTACGGCTGCGCCTACACTGTATTCTCCATTGTGTACTGGACATTTGATAAGGAGTCCAATGTCATATACGCCATCTTGGATTGGAACAATCCCGCCTTAACATTAGGCGTCATAGCCGGGGCCATATTAATAGTGGTACCGCTGATACAGTGCATGTTGTTTGGTTTATATAGACTTAGACTGAAAATATACAACAGTGTCTATAAACATTCTTACACGTGAGATAGGTTCTAAACATACTTACTTGATAGAAATAATTCTTTTCTTCCGTTTTTATTCAATTTTGTTTGAACATACATGTTGTATTTTTGTAAACACTATTTCATATAACAGTAGGGCTGTGCACACGGTACGTTAATTATAGGAGAGCTTTACTTTTATCACTAGTTTGTGTCATTGCACATATGTTTTACTTAAAGAGAAGATATACCCGACTTAGCTGGGATGTATTGAAAGGTTATCGGTCTCTAATAAATTCATTAACCAGTCATCTTAGTTGGTCTGTACATTCATCCATTGCTGCTGTTTCCAGTACGATTGTTCAAAGGCTCTATATACATATACAATACAAACAAATGGTTGTATTGATGTTACCAGTACGTATAAGTTGTACAAATAATTAATTATTTTGATAACAAAAAAGATTAAATTATATAACATATGTTATCACAAAGAAGCTGTGTTTATGTATTATAGTAAGCTGTTGGTGTCAAGATACAGAATTCTATCAAAGATTATTTATCTAACCTTCACGACAAGTGTGTAGTCGTATCTGCTGATAAAACCCAGAACAAGATTATCTTGTAGATGCTATTATGTAAACGGCCAACGTTAAGATATTTGTTGGACAGAGTTGCTCGTCCTATGTATACCAAACACTAATTTCTAGAATTCGACCCATCACATATACATGTACGCAGTCTGTTTATCTAACATTGACCAACATAGGTACAGATACTGATAATGCATAGATGTCAGTAGAAATGAGACTTCAGCCTCTTTCACTATAAACATAAGCAAACGGCCCAGACAACAAGTTAAACTAAATTTAAAAACGGACAAGGACCACCTCGTCTCTCTATCATGCACTGGGATACCACTCACAGATTTTGAGTTGCATTGATCTTAATTATTTTGCCACTTTTTCCTTACACAATTTGTTATTAACGGTTTAAAATCTGTAAACTAACATTTAAAAGCAACAGGTGGTAGCAATAAAGCCGCGTTGGCGATGCTATCTGCCTTTTCATTACCTAGTATTCTCACATGTCCTGGAACCAAGCTTAATGTCATCCATCATTTTGTGGTAATGCCATGAAATAATGTTAGTATTTTATTGATTGAAGCCCTTACAAAGAGTACAATAGTATATTTTATAAAAAAAACTTTTGAGTTCTGAAAAGTTTGAATTAATAATGCAACTTTGCTGTTTATATTGAATGTGTTTTGTATATTCTGTTGGACATTCGAATTCGATAGCACTGCGAGAGACAGCATCTGCATTATAAGCGATTTAATAAATAGAGGATATTTAATGGTGTCTTCAGTAATAATAAATATATTTCACGAGTGTGGCCTATATTTTGATATTTTTCACGATTGCACATCACGAGTGAACAATATCAAAATATTAGCCACACTCGTGAACTATATTTATTATTACTGAAGACACCATTGCGCACTCGTGAAAAATATCAAAATATAAGCCACACTCGTGAAATATATTTGTTATTACTGAAGACACCATTGCAAACTCGTGAAAAGTATCAAAATATAAGCCACACTCGTGAAATATATTTGTTTTTACTGAAAACAATTCAATCTACATATTACAATTTTAAAGCATAAAACATAAAAAATTAAATGAATTAAAAAGGGCGGGAATCAGTAGCGTAATAATTACCGCCATATGATAATGACGTCACGCTTGACAACAAGGCTGTGCACCATTTTGAATGGGATACTCAACTCAATTCCGACGTTTTCTGCTATTTTCTGGTATGATTGCTTATGACAATGTTATTAATTGTATATTTATGTAAATACTTAAGTGTGTGTACCAAACATTTACCATAGCAACCACTTATTCTACCGTCACTTCATTTGAATACGAACAAAAAAAAATCGTTGCCTTTGAATGCAGTGTTTAGAATTCGAAGATACCGTTATGATTGGTCAATACCAAAAAGTGATTTTTCACACTGTGAAAATATCACTTTTGATATTTGTCAAAGTGTGGAAGATATCAGATTTATCAAGTTGATAGAATCCATTATTTCAAATTATTATTTCCATTAGTAAAAATGTAATAAAAGTTTATTCTTAGAGTTGTGTACTATGGACGAGACTATATACTGAATCTAAAAGCATTTATAAACTGTAAATAGATGAAATATTGAAATTAACATTAATTTTCCTGTTATCTGTGTAATTATGTAAGATTTGTTACTTATTTTTAATTAAGATTTAATATTGCATATCAATAATTAAAACCATTTCAAAATCCAAAATGAAATTGAATTTGCTGTCAATAAACCACCGTGATGTCGTTACGTATGATAAATCAATCGAAGTGGTAATAAAGCAATTTCTTATTTTTATCGAATGTCTGGAGAATGTATTGAAATTGAAGTGTATTTCCTCATTTGCTTTGTTATTAAATCTTGAATTAGTAAACAGGTAAAGATAAGTAATCAATATGTCTTTCGTCTTAACACACGAACTCCTCCTGAAGATGGAATGTGTTTATTGGAACAAATTACTTCTAATGAGCAAGATATACTGGATTGTTGTAGTCTGTTGTCCTGAAGATGATGTTGTCGAGGGTTTCTAACGGGGTGGTGGTGGTAGGGGGCGATGGGATTGAATTTACGGCAAACCTACGGTTAGTGACTCATGATGATATGGTTTTTGTCTGTAGAATCTCAGGGGTGATAATGATAGACATGGTCACTGTTCTTTGATCGTTATTGAAATTTGTTTTTGTCAGGATTAAGTTTGCTGGTCTTAAATCGTATGTGTAAGCCCACTTGTTCTTCGGATTTCAGATTTTGTACAGATTAGGTTTATTTGTCTCAGATCGTTAGTGATTTCTGTGTTTCTTCTGGTCTGAGATGCTCTGACTATCATGACCTCTTTGCCAGATTTCAACTGCTGATGATTGACAAATTTGCAACACATGGATTCCAAAGAGTCTTAATGTAACTCTTTCCTTTGTTCATATCATGCCCTAGTTTTATCGAATTTTCCTTAGAATTATGGTGTTGTTGGTACTCTTTTGATTATTTGTTTTCGTTTTTATCGTAAGTGAGTGCTGTATTATCGTAATGAAGCTCAAATGTCTTCGATTGTAAATTTCTGTGTCATGATTAAACTCAGAGTGTCTCCAGTTCCTCGTTTGTTACTATCGACTTCGCCTTCCGATAATGCCTTAAAGTACTGTTACTATCACATACCTCAATGTTGCTTTACTTGGCCCCTCGTCAAAATAAACCCGTTCATTTATAATGTCAAATTGCACATAAGATTCTCTTATCTCCTCCACGATGTCCTACTTTATGCTCACCTGACAACACGTGTCTGCTTGTATGACCACACCTGCCCAGATAACCTCCATACCTGTCCCTAGCTGTTGAAATATCTCTCACACACAGGCCTAGGTAGCGCAGTATCGAAACGTAAATTCAAATCTCATTCAGAAATTTACCACGTGGGTTTGACGTACGCCTATAAATAAGTATATCTCACCTGTTGGGTTACTACCTGTCAGATTTCGCCGTTCGTTGCAATTCCGTTTAATCGTACCGTTGGTATTAAAGTTGGCCATCATGTGATTGATGATCTACAAACCCCTTTTAAGGCGCCCTATCCTACCAATGACGATCCGTCTACAGATCACTGAGGTTGAGTCCCCGGTACAGTGATACAGTACGCAGACAGTTATAGACCTACACGATATAACTCCAATGTTGGTTAGACTTTAATGACATTCAACAAGTATGTGTGATGTATTGAAGCGTGAATTCTCCTGGAGTAACTTCCGACTCTCTCATCAATACAAGACCGACTTTTTCACTTCCCAGGTAAGTACAGCCTAGTAAAATGTGTATCGTTACAGGCAAATTACTCGAAGTTTCAAAATGATAATTCATGTAATAAAACATTGCCTTGTAAAGAAACTGATTTGATGCATTCGAGAAAGCAATATATTATTTATTTCAGGCGGTTTGGATAAAATATTGAATTCAAGATTTTTCTGAAAAGCTTTTACTGAAGAAGTCAGAGGTAGTCAGATGTTATCGGTAGCACAGTCTTAAATAACAAGTTCCTCCAGAATAAGGTTTCACCAGTGAGAATAAACCAATATATAAAGTTGCTCCGGGTTTTCAGTGGAAGTGTTTTCATTAATTGCCAAATCATGTCAGTTTCCTACATTCACTTTTAATATCATGTCGCGACAACCTTTCCGATGGAAAATAGTGGTATTCTCATTTTTCACTAATATGTTCTTAGAAGATATCCCCGTTCTTATGGGAAAATACTGTATTTCTTTAAGATATATATAAAGGACGCAGTAATTATCCTTCTGGGTCTTGTTCAAGGTTTCATTTAGACTACTCATGTCACTGAAAAAGCTTTTAAGTTCGGTCCTACTCATGCCCGTGCATTACACGTGCAATCTTAATATAAATGACCGGAAAATAAAAATACATTTCTGATGATATGTGTGCTGTGGGGTTTTCATGTTTCCAATGTTGCACCAGAATAACATTGTTAAATGTCTGTTAGAGGGTAATTTGTGAGTCCTGTTCATACATGTTACTTGTTTATATAACTTTATCCATATTTTCTAATATATATTTCCTTCTGTGATATAACATGGTCTCATGCTAGTAATAATAAAAATGGGAAAATATTTCCATTATAAACTCTTTAGAATTTTTTTTTAATTAAATAAAATTGTCGACCATCTAACTTATAATTTGGTCTTTGATTTCATTTTTTAGTAAATTGATTCTACAGACAAGATTTTTTTTTATCATATTTTACTTTCTAACAGATCTAGACTATTAATCTTACTAAAGAAGGATTTCCCTTATAAAATTTAATTACTGTCCAACATATCACTCCTAACATCTTTCTATGATCTTAAAGTGATGCAGTATGGTAGATGTTAAGAAATATCATCAATATTTATTTAAAAATTCAAATGTGGTATCTTTATATGACGCATTACCTTACAAAGATACATTATCTAAATATTTGTATATACTTAAACTGTTATATGCTATATCAGTGTGGCATAATGCTTTAAATAAGATAAGTGTTTGTAACATTAATCTATTCTATTTGTACAGTAGCTTACGATAAATATTGACTTTATGTGATAATTAATAAAGTTATCGTTTGATTTAAAACCTTATTAATTAAACAACAAAAAATGATTTGAAAAGTTGAAAGATGTATGCTTTTCAATATTTTGGATAGTTGCTAATCAACAGCGTACGAGTAGGATGCGTTTAAAATATTACATGGCAGTGTTCTGTCACCAAGTAACGTATCGGAAATACATTTTGGTGGGGCAGCGTTACCAGTGTGAATAATAAAAGTTTAAGGGCTTATATAGAAGAACAGTCCCGTGGCATATCCAAAGTAACTCCAGAAAAACTATCATAAAAACTGTCATTCGTCCTAATATTTGTCGATGATAAATAAACATGTTCACATGTAGAATAAAATAATACCATAGCGTCAACAAAGAGCATGTGTAGCAATCAAATATTATCAAAAGCCGCAGAAACTGAATCATGTAAATTGTTGAACCTTAAACCAATTTCTAATGCCGTTACTCGTTAGATTTAAAGAAAACAGTGATAAATGTTATTAATCCTTATACACAATTAAAGAAACATAATCAATGACTGTTCAATCAGTATTAGCTTATGAGCATCTCCGATGGAAGATATCAATTTGTACAAAAAAGTAGCACATTCACAGTAGTACAAAAATCACATTCACAGTTATAATAAAACAATGTAGCACATTTACGGTTATAGTTACAAAGTGACACGTTCACAATCATAGTAACAAAGTTATATATTCACAGTCATAGTATCAAAGCAAAATATTCACAGCTATAGTAACAACGTAATACTTTCACAGTTCAAGTAACAATGTTGTACACCTACATTAGTAGTTACAAAGTTATTCATTCACAGTTATAGTAATAACGTTATACATTTACAGCTGTAGTAACAAAGTTATACATTTACAGTTAAGAAACAAAGTTATACATTTACAGTTAAGTAACAAAGTTATACATTTACAGTTAAGTAACAAAGTAGTACATTTACAGTATAGTAACAAAGTGGTACATTCACAGTTAAGTAACAAAGTGGTACATTTACAGCTGTAGTAACAAAGTGTTACATTCACAGTTAAGGAACAAAGTGGTACATTCACAGTTAAGTTACAAAGTGGTACATTCACAGTTAAGTAACAAAGTGGTACATTTACAGTTAAGTATTAAGGTGATACATTCACAGGTATAACAATATAGGAGTGCTTTAAATTTAATGGAAACAAATGTCGTTCTTTTATTTGCTCACGCTTTACTTCATATGGCAAGTAGTAAACTCGTTTTAGATAGTAACGAAGTTGTACACTCAATGGTAGAAAATTTCATGGACCAGAAACACGTGCATTGTTTACGGTTAGCCCTAAATGATAATGTGAGGTGAACATGCTTTAGAAAAAACACAATATATGAAAGGTTTGATAAATGAGGGGGATGAAATCCAAACGCCACTCCATTGAAAATGTTCCTGGAATGTATCTTCTAACCAGAAACCTGGCTCAGCTGCGGGCATTGCTTGAATACCTTTTGCTGGAAAACTGTCTTTTATTACCGGAACAATGTGCTGGGTTCCAGTGATGCAGCCACGTGTAAAGTACACTGCTTGGCTTTTTAATTAGTTTTCTAGTTTTTGCTATCGACATCTTAACAGATTATCAAACGTACAGTTCTTTATAGTACTTACTTCAATGTTGTTTGGGACATGGGATCCTATCGTTGTGATAAAAAAAAAATCCTGTATTCTTTTTAACTCTCTATGCTTTATTGAAATATATTCGAAAACAACATTGGGGGAGTTTTTTTCTTCTCCTTCTGTCATTAATTAAGATTAAAAACAAATCTGTATGATCATCAGCTCTTAGCTAGTTACCAAATCCCTTTGAATATTTCTATTACTATTTTTACTATCGAATTTCGCAATGAATATTGTTTAAACAAATAATAAAACAATATGTTCAAACACGGCATAATGATTTTGATTTTCTCAAGTCATTTTGATTAAATTTAAATGTTCATTCAAATAAATATTAAATGAAAATTCGACATGCTTTCATAAAAAAACCTGTAAAACCAGTTCAAAGTCTTACAACATTGTTAACTTGATAAACAATATGACGATTTTAAAACCTTAGATTAATTCATTAAATTATATAGGTCGCTGTATGAATGCTGTACATGTATAATATTCATGATGTAAAGTTTCACAAATAATTGTATATGTCGTATACACCCATAAGATTGCGAGGAGTTTTGTCGTGGTACCTTAGTAAATATCACGTGTACTCTACCATACATGTGAAGCCAATACAATCTACCAAACAAAAATAAGCATGAAATAAAAGTGTACCCGAATGATGCATATTTGCGGTTTTCATAAAAAGTACACGCGTGCCTTTTAACTTGAATGGAGAGAATCAAGATAATTTCCATTCAACCATTTAACTTGAAAAAAATCCCTTTGAGACATAAATTTCCTGCTTTCGTTTATCTACCTCCCCATTACACTTAAAACTGTAACATTTAAGTTGAGGATATTACATAAAAATGTCTAAAAGCTATATATGTACCAGGATTTAGCTATAAACGATACGTTATTTATGTCAACGGAATTCGTGATTTATAACAGATGAAAAACACATTAGGGTGTCACAGAAGAACTACCGAATGTGTGTCTTGAAAGTCTGTTTTTAATCCCCGTTGCTCAAAAACATATTTAATATATGTGATGATAAATTGTAATGTCATATTAATAAATATGTACTCTCCGTATCGTTGCCTTCGACTTAAAAACATATTTTATTTCTGGGCACAACCTTTATGTAAAGAGACCTGGAGATAGGACCAAGCTGAATGGCCATTTGATAGTTGATCTTGATCCAGCTTTCCCTTGAAATGACAAGTACAATCGCGCCGTTCATTGAGGCATCATGGCATAACATTAGCATATCTCTTCCCCTGCTATCGATCTTGCAATGTCTTAATGTTAATGGTGACTAACTATTCCTGCACACAGAGCCTTAGTGATGTTTAGTAACCACAGCTCACAGGCAAACATTTAAATGAAAATACCATATTAACTAAAAAGAAAGGTATGCATAAAACCAGGCATATCTCAAATGAAATGATTAGAAAAATGATTTTATAAATAAAAGCAATGATTGGTAATTAATTAAGTACGCAGAGATTGGTAGTTTAGATATAAAAAGAATAACTTTAAATGTATTTACTGCTGTACGTTTGGACATATATCACATGGGGTACATGTCCTCTTTCTGGATAGTTGAAGATTTTCTTGATGTTATTAACTAGATAGAAACTTTAGACACACCAAAAACAACAGATAGAATTTATGATGTGTAGCATTCAATGATGTGATCAAACACAACTTTTCAGACCAAATCAGCAATATTTTCAGCACAAAACAATCACCAATGGTCATAGTTCACATTGTTCTTAATACATGGTTACCAAACTGCTACTGTCTGGGTTGTTTAGCAAGACGTATGAGTCCAGAACAAGTAACTTACACTACGTACAAGTTGCCTGGAAAAAACTTCGTCATGCGTTATACATACTGTGTTGCTTTCGATATACATGCTAATATACGTCGACATTTGTCGATAACTTAAAAAGAAGATATGAAAATGATCGATGTTTTTTTTATTGTTGGGCCAAGATAAATGGAAATCGAATTAACAGGAAGTCAAACATTGAGCAATCAAAATT